AGTGTAAGTGGCCAAAACAGCTTGTGCCACCAGATCACTGCCGCCTGCAAGCACGGTGGAGACCTGTATGTGGTGGGAGGGTCCATCCCACGGCGCATGTGGAAGTGCAACAATGCCACTGTGGACTGGGAGTGGTGCGCGCCTTTGCCACGAGACCGGCTCCAGCACACTCTAGTGTCAGTGCCCGGGAAAGATGCCATATACTCACTGGGTGGCAAGACACTGCAGGATACCCTCTCTAATGCCATTATTTACTACCGGGTAGGTTATAATGTCTGGACAGAGACATCGCAGCTGGAGGTGGCTGTGTCAGGGGCAGCTGGTGCCAACCTCAATGGGATCATCTACTTACTAAGGGGGGGGGGCTGAGAATGACCTGGACTTCTTCACCAAACCATCCCGACTCATCCAGTGCTTTGACACAGAGACAGACAAGTGCCACGTGAAGCCGTATGTGCTGCCCTTTGCGGGCCTTATGCATGCAGCCGTGCATAAGGATCTGGTGTTCATCGTAGCTGAAGGGGACTCCCTGGTGTGCTACAATCCCCTGCTAGACAGTTTCACCCGGCTTTGTCTTCCTGAGGCCTGGAGCTCTGCCCCATCCCTCTGGAAGATCGCCAGCTGTAACGGCAGCATCTATGTCTTCCGGGACCGACACAAAAACGGGCATGCCAACACCTATAAGCTTGACCCTGCCACTTCTTCAGTTACTGTCACCAGAGGTATTAAGGTGCTGCTGACCAATCTGCAGTTTGTGTTGGCCTGAAGCTGTCCTGAGGAGGCAGGGGAGCGAGCAAGGGACTCCTGTGTCCTCCCCATTTTCCCAGACCCATCAAAACACAGTCCCTGGGCCCCAATTCAGAATATTGTATTACTCTTGGCACTTATTGGAAAGGCAGTACTTCAGCCCTTCTCTGAACCCATCATGGTATTTGGGACTTTTTGAACTGTTGCTACTTAAGCCAAGAGTAGACCATCCTGTTCGCTACCATTCCCTGGTGACCCCAAGCCTCACTGTGGACTGCGCAGAGCAAGCCCCTTCTCAGTCCTTAGACACAACTGTCCTCCTTACCTGATCAATGTTGAATAGAAGACACAAAGATGCCCAGTCCTCCTTTTTCTGTAGTGTGCAGTGGCCAGTTGATGACCGTCCTCCCTTATCCGTCCACAGAGTTAGGTGTTTAAGAGTTTTCCTTCAGGCTTTGTTTGCAAGAATGAACAAAGCTGAAGGTGTACTTCACCAGCAAGAGTCAACTGTAGAATCCAGGACGCTCTTTCTATTTTTTCCTCATCTGTCTGTCGGGAAATGGACACTTTGGTTTTATTTTTGGCTTACTCCATTCCTCTGTGAGGGCTATAAGCCAGAACGAAGTAGAAAGGGTGATTTCTGACCAATAGTAGAAATTGGTTTTTTAGACAGAACTATTTTAAGTTTCTGCTCTTTTAAGTCTTCAGTAAAGTCCAGAGCCAAGAATCATTCATACAAATAAAAGTTTTTGAAGGGCTGTGTGTCTTTGTTGAATTCTGAAGGGGTGACTGCATAAGGAAAACTAATTACCTATTTCCAAGCCAGCAAGACTGATTTCATCCCATACTTCCTTTACTACAAAAACATTGCTCAAAAAAAGTGAGGAGAGCCTCATAAGCCAGTGAAATAAGAACTGTCTTCTTTTTCTAGTGTTGTATGTCTTTGTGCTATTCACAAAATATCATTAGGTACACAGTATTTTTGCTGAAATTAATATTTCTTTGACCCCAATCACAAAAATAAGAGGCTCTCCATCATTGGCCCACATTCTTTACCCCATAAACAGAGGCTGTACTAAATCTCTCTCTCTCTCCTCCCCCGACTCCCAACCTTTAAACAGTAAAGACAAATGAAGTACGATTCCCCATTAGAACATTTCTGGTATGTCAAGTTGACTAAAGCTCCTTTGGTTCTGGTAATTTTTTTTTTATTCTGTGGCAAGCAGGAGTGTTACTGAGTTCTAATCCACACACTTCATGTCTTTAATGTGGCCAGGCTTGTCCTTTGCTGCCCTTGCAGTAATCTTGTGGAACTCTTTGAGAACTTCTAACTGGCCAGGTCTTATGTGGATGTGTGACCGGATCTTGGTGAGGAATCCTATAGCCTCTTCTGGACTCCAGTTATGCACCTAAAGCAGCATAAGTTTAGAAATTAGAGAAAGGAGCAGGTGTTCAGGTGCCCATGATCTATGTGTGGATACTAAAAGGGCTCCCAGAATTTCATTTTTTTTAAAAAAACATTTCTTTGGTGCAACCATTGTGGAAGGCGGTGTGGCACTTTCTCAAAAAATTGCAAATAGAGATACCAATTTGACCCTGCAATCCCATTACTGGGAATATACCCCAGAGAGACCATGTCTGCCATCCAAGCAGATATATGCACACCCATGTTTAGTGCAGCTTTGTTTACAATAGCAAAGAGTTGGAAGCAGCCTAAGGGCCCATCAACAAACAAATGGATAGAGAAGCTGTGGCATTATCCACACAATGGAATACTACACAGCACTGAAAAACAAGGAACTCATGCAATATTATTCAAAGTGGGTGCCCCTGGAGGACATTATGCTGAGTGAAATATCTCAGTCACAAAGGGACAAATACTGCATGGTGCCACTGTTGTAGAATGGGTCTGACATCAGGGTGGGGGTATGACAGAAAAAACTGGATAAATTACGTATATTGTATTGAAACAGATGAGGGAAAGAACAGATTAGAAGTGATATATGATTGAGTATTCTGGTTAGCACAGGAATCCAGAATTAAGGTTGCAGAGAATTGTACTCGGGGTGGGGGGTGGGGGGAAAGGACATGGGAATTGTATACTAATGAAGGAATTTTTTTTTCTAAAAAGAAAAAGAAAAAAATAAATGACAATAAAAAAAAAATTTCTTGGGAATCAGAGGCCAGGCCCCAAGTATTTTATAATGGGAGAGCACGTTAACCACCTCAGTGAGTTCCTTTACAGCATGCCATGAATTGGGGAGACAGGTCACCCTCTATACCCATGTTCATGCTCTGTCAAACCCTAGGGAAAGGTTGAATCTTAAGTTCAACTCCACCTAAAATTAAACTCAAATGCACTGCTGCTGAGTCAGTTCCAATCATAGCAACTCTACAGGGCAGAGAAATGCCTCACAAGGTTTTACAAGCTGCTGCCTGCCTCATCCTCCTGTGGGTTCGGTCTGCTGCATTCTCAATGCAGACGAGCGCTTTAACCAGCTCTCATTTTCTTCTCTGAGCTAAGGTGTTCTAAGAATTTCCGGGAAGAATAGGTAACAGGTGTTTTATGCAACTTGTCCCAGTGGGGGTGGGGGGGAATAATGAGGGTCATCCATGTCTGTTTAGAACTCAATAAAACAAACAATAACAGGTTTCTATTCTGACTGAATTCTCATTTGGTCAAACACGCAGAGACCCTGTTTCTAATAGAATCCTCAGGACCAATCCCTCAGTAGGGGTCATACCGTAAGTCAAGTTCAGAGGGGGTAAAAGAACAGAAAACAGTAAAGGGATGGCCTGAGCCTCCCAAAGATTCTGAAAAGCATGCCACTTGCCAGTAATGAAGGAGCTTTAATTGGCCTAATGTATTTATTATATGTAAGACTGCCAACCAGAAATATCGTGGTTTGCCTCCACCAGTGGCTTCGAGGGAAAAAGACGGGCAGTCTCCTCTGGTGGGGATTTATAGTCTTGAAACCCTGATGGTGAGTTGCTGTAAATGAAAACTGACTCAACAGTAGTGGGGTTTGCTAACAAATCACAATAGGCAAAATTCAGTTTGAATGCTGTTTTGGAAATTAACGTCCAGAACTTAACTCTGAAACAAATGGAGAATCCCGAGTACTGTACAGCTGAAATGAGAGCAGTATGCTAGAGTTCCCAGCACACTGCTTAGAACAGTGCTTCCTTTGCTGAGGTTAACAGCCTTCACAGCGCCCCTTTTTGAGTGTCTCACTTTTTGGGTCACATCCTTTCCCATTTAGATTGCAGAACACATTTCCTTTAAGGAAACAGTAAAGGGGTTAAGCGACTTGGCCCAAGGCCATGCCACTGGCAGGTGGCAAAGACAGTCTTCAAAGCTCAGGTGATTTCCCTGAAACCACACCCACCACCCAGTAGCCTCAAACTGGGGGCATAACTCCTTCCAGGAAGGCCCAGGCGCTGACCATGCCAAAGTTCTGGAAATCTCTTTAGAGGAAGACCTTTCTTACCTGAATCAAATAGGCTGCCACCATGGTGGCACTTCTGGAACGCCCAGCCTTGCAATGCACATAGACACACTGGCCCAGTAACTTGTACTTGAGAACAAACTCGACCCCCTTCTTCAGATTAGCCACGGTTGGGACACCCGTCATGTCTACTGTGCTGAGCCGCAGCTGCTCAACTCCCACTTCCTTCCATTCCTGGAATCAGGTCCACCAGCACCCAAAAAGAGAGAATGCAAAAAACCTAATGTGGGTACAAAGATGGGCTCTCAAGAACAGCAAAGCCGGGAAGCATTGGGGCTTCTTACAGTTTGAATATACAGTGTCCTAAAAATGAAGCTTCCTACAGACTAGCCTTTAGGATGGCTGACCTCATGGCTGGTCTTCCATCTGTTGGCATGCAGCTGTGCACCTGAGTTAGAAAGATACCTAAGTTATCATGCATTCTTCTAAAAGGCCCCTTTGAGTATTTGCACCTTTAGCTGAAAAAATATTGGTTGTATCAAATTCAGCAGCAAAAGCTGTGTGGCTGGGTGTTTGCATGATCCTGGCTTCTATGCAGCAATCATCTGCAGGGTTGGGGTACTGTGTTTTCAAAGGCTATTTCTTTACCCTTAAGTCTCACTTTTTCACTGTTGCACTTACTACATAGCTCCCGTCCTATTTTTGAGGGGAGACAGAGGGCTGTAGTGGCCTAGTGGTAGTGACTTGTTCTGCCAACACAAAGACCCCCATTTCAAATCCACCAGCTGCTCTGCGACAAAGAGGAACAGTTTCCTCCCTTGTGATTTAAATCCTCTGAAAACCTGCTAGAGGGTCAGCTATGAGTTGGTTCCTACTTGAAGGTACCTAACAACAACATTCTTGAGGGGATAAGTGGTTGGGTGGTGGGAAAGCCATTATTTTAAAATAAAAATTATGTATTCACCTTTGTTATGCGTCAGACAGTTGGACAATGACTAGGGAGGATAGAAGGAGAATTGATGCCTTTGAGCTGTGGTGCTGAACAAGAGTACTGAATATAGCATGGACTGCTAAGACAACAAACAGATTCATCCTGGAAAGGGTTAAACCATGCTGCTCCTTGGCAGCAAGGATTCTGAGGCTTCGTCTAACATACTTTGGACATGTTGGAAGAAGGGATCGGTCCTTGGAGAGGGACATCATGCTTGGGAGGGGGGAGGGACAGCGCAGGAGGGGAAGGCCCTCTATGAAGTGGATTGATTCAGTGACTGGGGTAATTGGGATGGATGTATCGTAGACGGTGCGATTGGCACAGGACAGAGCAGAGTTTAGGTCTGTGGTACATAGGGTTGCTGTGAGTCGCAAGGGACTTAATGGCACATAACAACAACAAAGCCCTGTGGCAAAGAACTTTGAAAAATTCGAGGAATTAATTTGTTACCCATTATATGGATTCTGGTCAAAAGGGGAAAATTGGGGAAAGACGTCATATTTGGATGGCAACCAGATTGACTGCTTCTACTGAGACATTATAAGAGATATTACCTAGAAACAGTTTTTAATTCTGGACCAAAACTATCCCATGAAGTGATTTCTAAACAACACTTCTGCTCGATTAATAAAGAATACTTGCTTTGAGCATTTCCCTCTTTAAAAGCATCATCTATATGAGGTCAAACTGACAACAGTAACAATAATTAGAATGGTAACTGTACAGTGTGATGTATGCCACATCTTACCATTGGACCACACAAGTAAAAATGACTGCACTATGTTTTATTTTTAATATTTCCACCAAAAGTTAAAAAAAATTAATGTATGCCATGCCTAACTAGTATATGATAAATATGATACACAAGTATTCTTAAGGTTTCAAATTAATTTAAAAAATTAGCATATTGGGCAGGTTATATCAACATAGTAAAAAAGAAAGGTAACTGTTTTATGTCAATATATATCAAACACTATAAAGAGATAAGGCTAAACACTGTGACACTGATGTGTCAAATGCGATAACTGTTACCCATGGTGGACAGTGTTTGGTGGAGCTCCCGAATTAAAACAAGCTTGAAGTAGGAGTGGCATCTACTTCCGAAATAGCTTGCCTCTGAAAACTCTATGAACTTGGAGAAGTGATGAAAGTTATGCAAGTGTTCAGGTCTTCGTTCATTGGGTCTCTATGAGTCATCTACGATTAGACTGCACTTAACAACAGAGCTAGAGCTCTATTGGCCTAGTGGACAGAAAGTGATGCTATCAAGCCAAAGGTGAATGAGTGATTTTAATCTGCGGCCCTCAGGCCTGGTTTTAATTGTTTTTGGTCAAACATTCTTTTAAGTAGTATAACACAGGTCTATCCATTTTCTGTACAGAGGTAACTCATGATTTTAATCTACAGCTCTCAGGTCTGATTTTAATTGTTTTTGGTCAAACATTCTTCTAAGCAGAATAGCACAGGTCTGTCCATTTGCTGTACAGAGGGAACTAGCGGTTGCTGTGATGTTAAAACACCGTGACACTGATGTGTCAAATGCAATACTGGTTACCCACAGTGGACAGTGTTTGGTGGAGCTCTCTGATTAAAACAAGATTAGTAGCAGAAGTGGCAGCCACTTGTAAAATAGCTTGCCTCTGGAAACTCTATAAACTTGGAGAAATAATGAAAGTTATCCAAGTCCTCACTTAATAACAACAACATAAAGAGATAAGGTAATGTCTTCTAATAATCATTGTGGAAAGCTCCACAAACAAGCTCTAATGTTATTACAGAAAATGCTTTAGGAAACCTTCAACTCAGTTCATTCTGGTTTGAGCTCCTGTTCAGGTACTCAGTGCAGCAGACTTGGATTAGACTCAGCTCACGTTCCAGTGGGATTTGGAGGCTGTAAATCCCATGAGAGGAGACTGCCCATCTGCCTCTTACTAAGTCACTGGTGAATTTGAACCACAAGAGAGGTAACCTTTGGATTAGCAGCATAATACACCCTCAAGATTCCTTCACCTCAGGGTGATCTGGTGAAAATGTGGATTCCAAATTAGTGTTATCTGAGGTTAAAAAAAAATTTTTTTTCAAAAGGTTTTCCAACATCTGGCTGGTTTTACATCTGCAGTTTATTGTTATAACTCATATATACTATACAAACATCACTGTTTCCAAAGCAAGCTGCTGGGTTTGAACTGCTAAAATTCCTGTTAGCAGCCTAACAAGACCCACTATATGACAGTTCTGTGGAATTCCACTATGATTTCTACATACTAACTCAGAGCCAAACGACCCCTAAGGGGTTTCTCAATGAGTAGTTTGATGACATTAACAGTTCTATTCATCTACAAAATGAAGCAAGCAGCTCTGGTGGCCTAGTCTGTACGGAGTTGTACCACCAACAAAAAGGTGGTACTTCTCTGGAGGTTCAAATCTACCAGCACATTTGCAAGGGAAATGTGAACAATCTCCTTTACAATTTACAGCCTATGAAAAACTCCTGGAGGGTCAGCTCTGGGTGGGTTCCTATTCAATGGGAATATGAAGATAGAGATAAACTATGTATGTGTGTCTGAGGGCGAGGGGTTACTTTTCTTCTCATAGTGGGTAAAGTCTTTACCTTGAACACTTGGCAGTGCCTAATCTATACTTACTGCTCAGTAATTGTTGCATTAATTAGATCATCAAGTCATAGGCAGTTCCTTCCCCACAACTTTTTAGAAGAGTTATTTATGTATTGATTTATATGATGGAAATTAACAAGACTATATGTGTGCACAAATGTCAATTATTGTCGCTTTACTTTAAAACGTTAGGGTGACCCAAAATGTATGCTGAGGCTGTAGCCTCCTGACCTAGGAATTAGGAATGTTGCCATATAGAAACTGGGGTTTTGACTTAATGAAGTCATGCCAACAGAAGGTGAGTCCCAAACTCAATCATTTCTGAATGGTGTTTTCTTTTTAAAAAGCCAAACAGCAGACACAAGGTGAAAATACAGAAATGCAGCCCAAATGGAGAAAGACTGAGAACCTTCTCATTAAAATCAGACACCAAACACACACACACACACACACACACACACACAGAGAGAGAAAGAGAGAAGCAGCCAAGGACTAATTGAGCCAGCCAGTCAAACAAAAAACCCTGTTACTCTAATCTGGATTTACAGCCTCCAAAATTGCAATAGTAAATACCTTTCTTTAAACTACTCACCTGGTCTCAAGGAGCACTAGGAAACTAAGAAAAGTCCTTTGGTATTTAGTTACTTTTTTCTTGCTTTCTTGTTTTCATTTCCTTTTTAATTTGCAAAGTCCTGATTGTATTGCCCGTTTGGAAAGCTATTCTTCCTTCTTTTTAAAGCACATACAAATCTGTAAAATCACCTATCATCTGACAAGGTATGTATGGTCGCGAGTGCTGTAGCCTTTCACCCATTTCTGTTCATCTTGTCAGTCGGCTGTATCCATGAATGCGTGTTCCTCCTGCACAGCCACAGAGCTTGCTATTATTACTGACAGTGTGAGACTAGGAATGCAATCGTTTAATTAATTCCTTTCTATCCTACCTCCACTGAAGCCCAGGAGGCTGGAAGGCTGGGGACACGTGTCTCTGGGGCAGGTGAGCTTCAGCGCCCCTCGCCCACGGCCCCCCTCCTCCCGGTTCTCCCAGGCCGGGGGTCCCTGCCCAGCTCCCCGCGCTTCCCCGCCCCTTCCCCCCGGGGTCGGGCCCCTCACCTTGGCGTTGTTGCACAGGAACCTGGTCTCATACTCCTCGTTCATGGTGATCACCCCGCGCACGTTCTCGCCCTGCACCAGCTGCCGAGGAAAGAGGGGGCTGAGC